CGATCATCCAGGACATACCCAATCACGAGAGACACATTATCCTCTTCACCGGTGGCCCACCGTGCAAGGACTACTCCAACATTAAACAACACCAACCGGGCCGGGCCGGCTCACAGGGCAGCCTCTTCGACACCGCACTCTCCATCCGCGACGACATTCAGAACAGATGGCCACATCAATCGCTCACCCTGCTAGAGAATGTCGTGCCTCACCCCGAGGTACGCGACGACTTCGACCAGCTGTCCCACTCCATGGGCCTACGCCCAGTCCTGATCGACGCGGCCGACGGCCAAATCATCTCTCGTCCCAGAATCTGGTGGGCCTCGGTCGATTGGGAATCCTTGCCTGCCACATTGAGCAGGCATACACCTTGGCAACTCTCCCTCGACACTCAGCTGTTCCCACCGGTGCTCTTCAATCCCATTGCAGCCGAACTACAACCAGACTGTCACATCCGGGACTTCGACCCGCCGAGTGTCCTAACACACGGACAACTCTTCCACTGCCTTACCACCCAGGCCAGTACGGACGAAGGCCGCCCACCACCACGCAGCCAACAACTACCAGACGACACATGGCAACGGTGGCAAGCCGACCACAAACAATTCGCCCCGTGGCAATACCAACAGAAATACCTGGTCCGGAAACACGGACACGACTGGCAAGTCGCAACACCCGAGCACCGCGAAGCAATGATGGGATTCCCGCGCGGCTGGACGGGACCACACAACACCGACCGGACCAGGAACACCATGCTGGGGAACTCCTGGCATGTGCCCACAGCCATGTGGATCCTATTCCTTTTGCTACTACAGCCAGCCTTCGGAATTCCCCCGCCCACGCAGCGGGTACGTCGCGGATCCCTCGGAATGATGGTCGACCTCTGGCTTCACAACCCACGACCATGGGGACCACCTCCGAGAGCATCGGAAACGCTACATATGCCACAGAACGACTGGCAGGACCACTTGACCTGGGCCAAACACCACGCTACCTCGCTGCAACAGCCCCAGCACTGCGACCCGACCATTTTGTGGGCCATCGCAATGCAAAGGACCATACCACAACTGCCACAACTACAGCACAACGTGTTACTCGACATCGCGGACCTTCGCGATGACCTGACTACAGATACACTTGCATGGTTCGAACAGCTGCCCCCACACTGCCAGCGAGCCTATCGACAACCGAAGATGATCACTCAGGTACCACTCATGACACACTTGCTACATTTGCTTAACTACCCACAGGCACAACTCCTGCACGAGGAACTCTCTCTAGGCTTCGACCTCCTGGGGCCTCTGCGACCCGGAGTCAATTGGCACATTCGCCACGACCACAAATACCTGGACCCATGTGACCTTGCAGAACTCAGGTCATTCAACAAAGCCTACATCCAGCGCAAATTACAACAACACAAGATCGACGACCACTGGACTCTTATGGCCACCGAAATCGCGGGGGAAGTGGCCCAGGGACGTATGGCCGGCCCCTTCGAGGCACCGACTCATTGGACCTCTCGCACAGTACCCCTGCACCTTTTCCCCCACACCAGCCGGCTCCTTCCTATCCCACATCGCGATCCCATTGTGGCAGTCGCATTCAGCATACAACAGACCGGATCGGACGGAAAACCCAAAGTCCGGAGAGGAGAAGACTGGCGCCGCAGCGGCCACAACCAGACGTGCTCTATGCACGATCAACCCTACCATCACACACCCGACCACTACATCCAATGTGCGAGACAATATCACGACGACGCACACCCGCTACATGTGTGGGGACACGACCACGACGGCGCCTACCGTCAACTGCCCCTCGCACAACCGGAGGTAGCATACGTGCTACTCATCACACCCGACGGCCCAACTCTCTGGCACCACCACGTGCTCCTGTTCGGCTCCGCTGCCAGCGTCTGGGGCTACAACCGCTTCGGCGATGCACTCACAGCACTCGCCCGCGTACTAACACTCACACCTGCCCTGCACTACGTTGACGACTACGGGGCCATACAACCCAGTCACATCGCGACCAGTTCCTTCTCCTCATTCAGCAAGCTCAACTCACTACTTGGATTTCATATGAAGACATCCAAGGAACAACCACCGGCGCCCTCTCACAAAATACAAGGGGTTTATGTCGACCTGTCGGCAACACACGCAACCCTTCGACCGTGCCCAGACCGAGTCCGTACACTGTCACACACCCTGTCTCAGTGTCTCGAACAGGGAGGTATGTCGAACGACACCGCCCGACGCACTGCCGGCAAGTGCAACTTTGTCACCGGACACCTGTTCGGTCGAGTAGGGCGATCGGCGTTAGCCGCCCTATACCACAAAGCACACAGCACTTCCGACCGGATCGACAAACCAACTCGAGCTGCCATTCTGTGCCTCCTGAATATCCTGCAACATAGCTCACCCCGCAGCGTCCCACTGTCCACCAGGCCCAGAGACCTTTCAATCATATACACCGACGCGTTCTGCCGGCAGGGCGAGAC